CAGCCCCGTGCGCCCTCGCGCGGCCGTTGCGCGCCTCGGCGCGTATCTACGGCAGGGGACTGCCCCGCGCGGGCCCCGGTCCCCCGGAGCCGCGGCCTGGTGTTCCAGCGCACATATCCCGGTGACCTTGGAAAGCCCAGGGCGGGGGAGCCGTGCGGGAACTGACCGCCTCTACCCCCCACCCCGGGGCTGCTATTCCGGGCGCCGCGCTCAGGGCCAGGGAATGTGCGAGAACCGAGGTGGCCCTGCCATGGTTCCGGGAGTCCGGGACGCTGCCTCCTTTCCACCGACGCCCAGATCGCGTCCCCGCGAGGGTCCCCTTTCCCGGTCAGTACCCCTCTCCCCTGCTCCTCCCTCCTAACCCTCCCTCAAGGTCATCCTACTGAGGAACCCCGCTCGCCTGGGTTGCAATCCTGGGGTTCCCACTCCAGGTCCCGGCCACCCCCGGAGCAGGGCCCCAACGCACTGGGAGAAGCTCGGCTCCAGAGGCCAGGCGTAGGGGGCGGAGAGCCCCCTTCCAGCCCTGCCAGGAGCATTCCCGGGCACTGCTGTCACCAAAGGACATGCCCCACCCTGCCTTCCGCTCTCCCTGCCTGGCCGCGGGCTGTGAGCTGCGGCTTTGGAGCCGGACCCGGGTCCAGAAGATCCGTTTCCCGGCCGGCAGCGGCCCACTCCCTAGGATTTTAGTTTTCCCATCCAGGCAATGGGGTCGGTGGGGTTCTTCACTTCACTCCACACAGGCACTGTGTCCTGCTGTGTATACAGGAGTCACTCAAGCGGCCAGGAGGGTATGCAAGACACTTCCAAGGGGACCTCAGCTCTTTTTGAGGGCTGGCAAGGGCCGAGTTACCCCAGGGCTCCCCGCCACCCCACCCTTTCCCAGCTTGGCTTCTGTGCCGGCCCCCTCCCCCTGCTCATGCAGCAAGCAGTAGGTGCCCTCTGCTTACCCCCTCCCCTGGCTCCTTGCTCTTGCCCATGATGTTCCCTGATGGGTGGGTTGAGGAGATGGGGACACCAAGGGGATGATGAGTGGACTGCCCCTCTGGTCATAGGCAAGCCCAGGCTCAGCTTGATTGCCGCCTCCTCCTGGAAGCCCACTGTGGGGTGTCCAGCCCTGACCACGGGGAGGGGGGTTACCAGTCCAGCTCTGTCTGCCTTCCAGCCCAGAGCAGCTCAGAGCAGGTCGACTCGATGCCATCTATGCATGCAATCTTTACTGAGCACCTACTATGTGCAGGTACGGCTGTGAACGACCCAGCTAACTAGGCTGAGGGAGGCAGCCCCCTGGGAGTGCAGAGTCCTATCTTTCGATCGGGACACCCAGAGGCAATAGCCCAGGCCCACTGCAGATGGGGTTGGGGGTCAGCAAGGCCCTCACTGAAGAGGCAATTGCCACAAGGAGGAGGGCAGCGCGGGCGGAGGAGACAGCCTGTGCACAACCCCTGAGGTGCGAATAAGAGAACAAGGGACAGTCGGGAGGTCAGGGTGGGGGGCTGAGGTGAGGTCAGAGGGGCGTCGTGGGATGGGAGCCCTGGAGGTGGGGGAGGGTGTTCTAGTCTTGGAAAAGCCACACCTGGCTGCCGTGGGGGCCAAGAAGGCAGCGAGGAGGCAGCGGCGTCCTGGGGGGAGAGCCCCCGTGCTGGCATTTCGGGTGGAGGTGAGGAGCCTCGGGCGGCTCTCAGCTGTTGGGGAGCAGAGCATGTAGGAGTTCCATGGGGGGTGATGGTGGGAAGAGGTGAGGCGGGAGCTTGGCCTGAGCTGCTGGAAGGGAGGTGCCCATTGGCTGGGGTGGGGGGGCAGGCATGGGAGAACACGTCCACAGGTCGCTCCTGGACGGGTCTGGGGTGAGACATCTGTGGGCCAGCAAGAAGAGGCTGGGAGAGCAGGGGCTTTGTCTGGCTGGAGAGAGGTGGGTGTCCTTGACACATGGGGGTGTTTAGAGGCGTGGGTGAGATCACGGGGCATGAGTATGGATGGAGTGAGACGAGGGCCTGCGTACCAGGGGCCTGGGATGGGGGAGGCGAAGGGGGGCGTGGGGTCCTAGAGGCCTAGGGATGTTGGGCTTCAGGGAGGAGGGGGGGCGATCAGCATTGCCAGAGGCAGTCAGTGACCTTGATGAGGTTAATCCTGGTTGGACGGGGCCTGAGAAAGGGTCGCAGGAGAGGCGGTGGGGACAGCAAGGGCAGGCACCGTCTGCTGAGCACCTACTGTGTAGTAGCTGTAGGCTGGGGCCTGAGGGGCGTCAGGAATAAATCAGGCTTGGCTCAGGGGCTCCACCAAGTGGACAGTCTCCTTCCCTCAGACGGGCCTCATTCCCTGAGTCCCAGGCCAAAGAGCTATGCAGGGTGTGCGTACAGCAGGCACTGTGTCCTGCTGTGTATACAGGAGTCACTC